TCATCATGTTCTCAGAGGGATTTCGTTTCAGTTGCTTCGGGGTGCTCCACACACCGATGACTCGGAGAGTAGATTCCAGTTTTTGCGTTATATAAAAGCTCTCATTCTGCTACTGTGTGTAAGCTGTTTTTGCTTTTAGACGGAAACAAGAGTTGGCAAAGACAGACTTTTGCGGCAAAATAAATATGTGGCTAAAAATATGGAAGATGCTATTGAAATAATTTCAATAGCATTTTTTATTATCACAGTCCTAAAGTCTCAGGTTAGAAATCTTGGTGTCTTGATTCAGACCTGAGCTTCACTGATGACATGAATGGAATATTCTCCCCCTGCGCAGGGGCGCCGTAAAGCGGTGAAAGATTAGGAAGATTCTAAGGGCCCACAGCTGTCAGGGGCCCAAAAATGTTTCAAAGTTGAATTAAAAAAATAAAATTTAAAAATCACAAGTACTTTACTTTGCAGTTTTTTTTCTCATTTAAGACATGAAACAAACAATCTTTCAGTCTTCATGAAATGTATATTTATGCAGAGGTCCCCATGACTAATTAATTTGCCCCCAGCTGAAAATGTAGTTATGTAAATCTTTGACACAACATGGAAATTTAATTAGATATCCAAATTTGAATTTTATCATCAAATAAAATTTTAGAATAAATAAACACATTTTAAGGGAGTAATAGGGAAAAGGAGATTAACACCTTTCAGCATGTGCATTTCCTGCTTTTTCCAGCAGTGATATTGCTAATTCTGTTGAAGGAAATTCACTGTTTAACGAGAGACAGCTGGTGAAAAGGATGTTCAAATAAGTAAGAATGCATGTAGACCTACATAATTAAGCGAAACTGAAACACTAATATAAAGTATATATACATTTTTTTTCTCCCTTCGAATCTGGGAGGGTGGAACCCCAGCTCCAGCTATGGACGAGCCCCCAGGGGGCCCAACTTGATATTTTTTCCATGGGGCCCAAAATCTCTGGCAGCCCCCCTGCTCCTACGTGATTTTTTGTCTACATCCCAGAGGAAGATAAGTAAGAAAAAAGCAACCAGCGCAGTAACCCTCCTGGTCTGGCAGCAGACCATCTGCTTTAGCTTAGCATAAACAATAGACACGAAGAGCAGAAACTAGCATTTTGTGTGCAAAGTGATTAAAACTACTCAATAAAGATTTTCCTGGTGAGTTCAATAATCATGTCGACTGCAAATGAAAAGTAATTAACACGAAGGATTTCCAGGAGCCGATTTAGACTTGGGACTATGACGACAAAGCTTTGCTGTGACCCGCCGCTGATGGGCATGGATGTAACCCGGTGGTTGAAAAGGCCTCCAGCGGTGCTTTGCTGTAAAGTGTTCGAGTGGCGCAGGAGTTAAGTGCTCACCCTGTAATCAGAAGGTTGAAGGTCGTTGTGTGCTTGGGTCGGAGGCGCCAGTGGCGCCTGTGTACGGGTCACATGATGCAAGTCTGTTCCATTTAAACGTTTTCTTCAGTGTCCTCGTAAGCAAGGCATGGCCTGGCCTTTGAGAAACACCCTCAGACCCTCTCCCGTGTACCTTAGACCAGATTTTTATAGTTAAATATTACGGAGCCGCCAATATTTTTCAACAACCAGGAATCATTTCATTCTTGTTCAGCAGCATTTTGATAGATGTTTCCAGAGATTAACGATGAAAACTACACATTGTGACTTTAAGACGGATCTGCTTAGGAAAGTCTTTTGCTTATAAACTGTATCTACGACCAGCAGATACAGCAGATTCCTTCGGAAGCAGTCAGCTGGTAGAAACGGGTCAGAATCCAACGGGGGAAGCTGCCTTTAGCTCCTGCTGCTCACAGATGGAATCGGCTTCCTGGTGACCTAAAATGTGCCCCAACTCTAGAGACTTTTAAATCAAAATTGAAAACTTTCATGCATTCATCAGCCTTTGAATGAATGTTTCATATGCTGCACCTTCTGCGCTGTAGCTGCTCAGCCTCCTTTGCCTTTATCTGATCATTAAATCTGAATTTAACTTGTTTATTTAAATTGTTCTAAATGTATTTGTGTATTTTAATTATGCTGTCACACTGATTTTGCTGTTGTTGCTCTTGGAAAGCAGACTGGATTTCCGTTGTGTGTGAATGTGCTGTACAAATGAAGCTGCCTTGCCTATCATACCAAACTCAAACTGTAATAGATTTCAGTCTTTTTCAGGTCTTCACATCATGCTACATTTATTCTAATTTAAGCAGAATTAGCTAACTTTACCATTCTCTTTGAAAGAGTTTCATTTTATATGAGTGATTGAATCCTATTACTTTATTATTCAATGCCTTTACCTTCATCTTGAACGCCTTCATGACTCAACTGTGTTCCTAACTCATATTTCTGTTAAACCAAAGTATGACGATGCGGTCAAATGGCTTTTATTGACGATTGTTTACACAAACAACATTTGCAGCACTGATCCTTTTTCTAATACCTCTCCCTACAAACATCCCTGACATGCTGTCACCAACATCTGGGCCATATTCTGACTGACTCCCTCTTACAACAGAAATGCTTGGAGATTATCAGAATTTGTGGGTTTGTATTTGTCCGCCTGCCTTGTGAAGACGAACCACAAAATCTTAAAGATCTGGGATGTTTTCTAGCCACAGAACCAAAATGATCATGTTCTGTTCCTCGAGTCACCCTTTAGTCATATGACTCGGTGCTTCATCACCCTGTTTGGGACATTGCTCATCACCGTTGTACTCATGACTGAGCTGTGAGGCGAGGCTGTGGGTGAGTCCACTCCACTCACTGAGAAGCAACCGCTCACAAGTTCTCTGGATAATTTAGTGCTGACATGACGCTCGACTGACAGAAGCGCTGCACAAGTCAGCATAAAACAGCTGACAGACATGTCGCATCAGCATGGAGGGACACTTCTGAGGAAGACAGCAGAAGCTGTGGAAACATGTAAAGGTAAATCAAAAGCTTGATTAAAGTCAAAGTTAAAGTCCCGTCAGTTGTCACACACACTGATGTGTGTGTGACATTTGTTCTCCGCATTTGACCCATCCCCTGGGGGAGCGGTGAGCTGCAGACACAGCCGCGCTCAGGAACCATTTGGTGGTTTAACCCCCCAATCCAACCCCTTATTGCTGAGTGTCAAGCAGGGAGGCGTTGGGTCCCATTTTTTTTCAAAGTCTTTTGTATGACCCGACCAGGAATATAACCCTGATCTCCCAGATTTGTGGAAGAAATTGAAAAACGTTGTAAAAAGGGACCGAATGAACGTTCTAGTAGCGCCAATGCCCCAAATAATCAGGAGTACTTGCCAGAGAAAAGGTTTCCCTCACTCCTCAGCAGGCTACGTCTTGGATCTTTTGCACATCTTGAGATAAATTCCTACATCTCAGCTGTTTTTATTTTGTTGTCCAACCTTCACGCACTCATTATTGCATTTGCAGTTTTCCATTCATGCTTCCAATTTCCTGTAGATATTCTGCCATCTTGAATCCATACAGTATTTTTATGTTTCATAATTTTTTTTAATTAAAATGTCAGCATTTTGATTTTTGAATAATTTAAGCAATTCAGTTTAATTTCTTCTTGTTTACTTTAACTGTTTTAATTCTCACTCTCCTTTTTGCCTCTGTCATACGTGTGATTACTGCTGTTGTGGACATTTACAGGCAGTAAAGGGATTTTCCATTCTACTCCTTACTGTCGCCTCTCAACACCAGGCCACCCTCTGAAAATGTTCTCCTCGCTGAGCGTGCAGATACACGCTGCCCTGGTGCCGCCCTGACCATTGGAGGTATGGCAAAGATGCATTTTGCCCTTAGTGAGAATGCATCTGATAGTGCTTTCCAACTGCAGGAGTTTGGCTGCATTCTTAATAAATGACACAGGAAGCTTTGGCCATGGCCACACAAAGTCCCCATCCACGTTACTACCCCACATCGCTGCTCCCCTGCAGCCCCCCGCTCCAGTAATCCTCCTGTCCAGAGTGTTCAGTCGGTCCTTCATTGTATTTCAAATTACTGCCTGGCCTTGTTTCATTTACTTTCATGAATTTCCTGCGTTGCTTTTGTTAATAAAGTGTTTATGTCCTTTACTGCCCACCTCCTGCCTGTTAAGTCCAGCAGTTGGATTCTCCTCCTTAAGACCACCTATTGCTTCATTGTTCTTTAGATCCTAAAGAGAAGCCACGGGGCCAGTAGCTTTGGTTCGCCCACTGCTTGTCTTCATGTTAACCAAATAATCGCAAAGCGTCCAGTTACACGAACACATCACTACTTTCCCCTTAGAGGTTATTTCATTGTTCCAGACATGAGTCGTACAAAAGAGAAGAATAAAATAAATTTTACATCTGATGAAAATTCTGACGTGGTCTGATCCCTGTCGTTGTTCACTGAGCAAATGAGATCAAACTGGATTATGGAGAAGCTTTCTCCAGTTCCACGAGAAACAAAATCCAGTTTAGCATGTTCTAAGTAGCCTTCGTGGTCCTTAGAGAACAGGTTTTACCGAAACACGTTTTGTCAATGAAAAGCATAAAAAACACGTTAAATGGATTTACGTTCTGCACGATCGGTTTTTATGACCATCATTAGAGCAAAGCAGATTTTTATAGCCCCGACTGTTTAACTTGATGTTTCTGACCTTGTGTAATTATGTAGTTGCCTTAAAAGAACTAGTGGTGATGAATCTGACAGATTTAGCTGTTTATCAATCATTTTAGAATAGTTTCTCTTCCCTTTAGGAAAACATTTAGCAGTTTATGGAATCACAAAATAACGTCATCTTTTTTTGTATAAAACAAACATTTCTACCACAAACAATTCATTTGCATTAGAATATTGTGTATTTAATGTACTGTTATGCAGGTAAAATGACCTGTGACCTTTGATTTGGTTATTCTTGTCTGCATCTGCTCTGGGACAGGAGAGCAGATTCTAAATGAGTCATTATTTGTCATTCACTTTTAAACATTTCTTATGTTTCTGAAAATAAAATATGAAAACTGACGTCTTTTTAAGAAAAAAGATTTATTAACTACCAGACAGAGCAGCATAAACTGGATTTGTCTCTTTGCCTTTTTGTGAGATTGGAAAATATTCAGTGGGACAAGAAATCAAAAGGATTTAATTAGAATTAAACAAAACATGTTTTTTAAGAATTACCTGGGGTGATGTTTTTATGCCAGTGAGGTAGATTCTTGTTAATTAAAAATGAAAATATGTAATTGATCCCAACATTTGTAGTTTTTCCTCTTTTTCACACCAAAATCATTAAAAGTTCAAAACGCTAAAGAAGATTAGATCATAATATTTGCAAAATTATCCTTCTATCAGTGCATCAGGAGTGTATTTATTTTACAGCAAAACCCCACCGCTAACAAACTATTAAATCTCCTGAACAACGGAAGTCTCACTACTCCAGTGAATGTTCTGTGATGTGGGATCTGCATATTTGTTTCTGAAGTTTAAATGTGTATCTCATTTTTATTTTTTACAATAGTTTTCTAAATGGTGTAGGATCTCAGTCATCCAGGGAAGTGATTCGCCCAAACAGAACCAGAGGCAACCGGGCTTCCTTTGGAATGTTTGGGGTAAACGGGAAAACTCCAGTTGCTTCTGATCCAATTTGTGAATCATGTTTTTCAGTGGTTCCAGAACAAAAGCATTTTAGAGACTCATTAGAAAAAGAAAATATCTTGTTAAGACATGTCAACATTAAAAAGTGTCTTTAAGAAAATCACCACAGAAATCGAGTGACAGCGAGAACGGATGCCATGCTTGAGAAGGCCGGCTGTAACCCGACTGTTCCACCAGATGACATGCAGTGGTTCTGGTTCTGGCCGATGCAGGCCGCGTAGGCCATTACGTGGGGGATGTAGTTCTGTTCGTGGATCCCATGTAGCAGGTGAGCCATGGGACCTTTGGCAAACACAGCCACGTCATCTCCTCCGTGAGTCTCACTGAGCAGAGGCACCGCTGCCTGGGCCTGGTAGTGCGAACTCTCTGAAAGGAAGAGATGCATTAAAAAAAACAAAAAGTGTTGATCTTTATTTCTGAGCTAAAAAGGTATATCAATGAAATGAACATATTGGTTCAGGATGTTAAAATTGTCAGATGACTTTTGAAGCATGAGGGACCCCACACGTGGCGATAAAAAGTCACGGATATAACTGATGTGGTCCTATTGTGCGTGGTTTTACACATGAACATTCTGACTGGCTACACGTCACATTCAGCAGGCTGCACCATCGTTTGTTCTCACAATGGGGGCAAGAGAATTCAACATGGTGAACATCACGGATTTATGAATGGAGTGGTTCCGATGTCCTTCCGAGCAGAGCACACCACACGTGGCAGGAATATGTGATTTGAGAGCCTTTATTGTAATCGTTCACATCCATAATGGTAACTTATAATAGTTATATGGTCGATACAAAACATGATTATGAAGGTCTTAACACAAAGTCCCTCTGACATGAAGCGATCTCAGCCATTTAATTCCTGACAGTTTCAGTACCTACCAAAATGAGCCGTTTCAGGGCTCTGTCACTTTAAGAAAGCCAACTGGAGCTGGACACACCTACCCATCTCCCGCTCTGTCAGCTATACACTGAGAAGCACTGATATTCGGGAGTGGCTAAGAGTAGAGCTGCTGCTCCTCCAGCAGCAGCTCTCTCTTGTACGTGGGAGGTGGTTCTATTCTGATTTCCCCATTTATGACATCACAAACGGGGACTTTTTGACTCGGATTGATTTAGGCACATAATTCCTTAAACCAAAACTGACAGAAAATGTACAGATGTTCTTTTTTCACAGCTGGTGTATTATAGAGGCAGTAGAGACTCACACAGCAGCACAAAAGAATGCAAAAGGTACTATGTCCGTTTTAAGATAGTCAGAAAGGGAAAATCAGGTCAACAATCAGTATATTTATCCTGCCTTGATTTTGATTTCAAATTTACTCACCGTAGTTAACTGTAGAAATATTCTCCCTCCCGCCATTGACGATTTTGTAGCCGGGTCCATTTCCGTATGAAATGGCAGTGAATGGCTTTTGATCGGCATCGCTCACTTTGGGGGCCAGACCTGAAACAAGAACATTTGGAATTTACAGTCACGTCAGAATACGACTAAAAGCTTAAGCGACGATCTCTCTGGACCGTAAATGTGGAGAAACTTCTGAAATGACTTGAAACATTTGTAAGGACTTTGCAGCACCTCTTGTCTCAAGTCGCTAACATTTTTAAACTCATTTGTAAAGAGAATAAAAGTCCCTCATAAATGTCACAAGGGTCACCTCAGGTATGTGGACCCCTTCTTAAAGTCAGAAAAGGGTGAGTTAACAACTAATCTGCAAATGCAAAAATATGAATAAAAAGATGGAAGAATTGCAACCAAACTGAAACACAATTCTGATCATTTATGACTAAATTGCATATAGAATTTGTGCCGTTTGTGTATGTTGCAACGACATGACATATCCCACAGGACCTGGTCGTGTATAAAACAACACACAAAAGTTTAGACCATTAACTTGGTAACTGCTAATGAGAATTTGCACATTTTTCCACAATTGTCTCCAACTAGTCATCAACACTCCCAGCCTGGCTTTAGCAATCAGAGCCACATAAACAGTATCTATGTTATATTCATGTCATACCAAATATGGAGTTTCCTCTGAGTGTGTAGCCTCCAAAGGTGAATACGTGAGAATGGTCAGCAGTGACTACGGTCAGAGTCTCATGAATGCTGGTCAGGAGATCTGCTCGGCCAATGGCCCGATCCATTTCCACAGCGTCATACAAAGCCAACTTGGCCTTGCCCTCATGATGTCCATGATCGATCCGTCCCCCTAAAGAGGATATGAGTTTACATTAAATATTACAAATGAAATGTGTTTTTTTTATCTGATTATTTCCTTTTTCCACCATCGGAATATTGCTAAGATTAGATGCATCCTTTCCAGGAGTGATGCTGAAAAACTAGTTCATGCATTTATTACATCAAGACTGGATTACTGTAATTCATTACTCTCAGGAAGTCCACAGAATGCAGTTTAAAGTCTTCAGCTTGTCCAAAATGCTGCAGCTAGAGTTCTGATGAGAATTAAAAAGAGAGATCATATCTCTCCTGTCTTAGCTTCCCTACATTGGCTGTCCGTTAAATTCAGGATGGATTTTAAGATCCTTCTTCTCACATATAAAGCTCTTAATAATCAAGCTCCATCATACATCAGTGACCTGATTGTTCCATATGTTCATACCGAGCACTTCACTGTCAGACTGCAGGTCTGAGACTGGTGGTTCCCAGAATATCTAAAAATAGGATGGGAGGCAGATCTTTTAGTTATCAGGCTCCTCTCTTGTGGGACCAACTCCCAGCTTTAGTCCGTGAGGCAGACACCTTGTCTACTTTTAAGACTAGGCTTAAAACATTTTTATTTGATATGGCCAATGGTTAAAATCTGATGTTAGCCTAGATCTGGACAAGTGGGGGGGGGGGGGGGTAGAGGGAGGTGGAGTGTACAGTCGGTAAAGACGGCTCTCCCTTGCCCTGCCTCCAACATTCCTCCATCTAAAAGGCTAGGCTATCTAGAGTTATCTCTGTAGTTATGCTGCTAAAGGCTTAGACTGCTGGAGGACATACTGACCACTTTCCACACTCGACTACTTTCTTCTACAATTTGCTCTTTAACTGTATTATTTCCTGCTATTTCAGCTGTTAACTTTATTTTTTCTCTGGTGTGTGTGTGCGTGTGTGTGTGTGTGTGTGTGTGTGTGTGTGTGTGTGTGTGTGTGTGTGTGTGTGTGTGTGTGTGTGTGTGTGTGTGTGTGTGTGTGTGTGTGTGTGTGTGTGTGTGTGTTCTGTGTAGGGTTAGCATACGTATGTATTTTGGGTGCTTTTTAAGCTCAATATACTACACTACATTTGACCAATAAGATGTGAATTTCTATATAAATATGGAAATCCAGTCTGATTGATCTTTGAATGTTTAACCAGAAGAATTAGAATTCTTTGTTTATTCAAGGATCGTAAACACACTTCGTATTAATTCAGAGAGACTTATAAAAAGTAAGAAATTTATTTTCTAAACAATTAAAAACATGACAACTAGGACACTATGCGATGAATGAGTCTAAGTGGATGGAATGTGAGGTGTGATGATGTGTGAATGTGATGTTATCAGAACCCCCGTATCTGGAGAACTGAGTTCTGAGTGGGAGTGAATTTGGTCTGCTATAAACTATAAGTGATGGTTTATAAAACCACATCAGACGCAATCTGTCGAGTCTATGTACCCTTTCGAAGACCCTCATGGTAGATCCAGAATGTGTGGAAGTCCGTGGACCCCAACGGTACCGAAGTCCGTAGACGAAACCGCAGTGCCACTAGACACGGTCTCGAGATGTCTACAGGTCACGACAGGTAGTTATTTGCGTCTATGGAGTACTCTTAAGGAGTCGGAGCTGGTTCAGCTTTATTCTGAAGGAACTGTTTGTGGTTAGCTGTTGTGTGCAACAGGTTTTGACAGCTTGTCAAAAGATGCGATGGGAGCAGAGGTTTCCTCCGATGGCCAGTCAGAGTTAGGCTCAACTGAATCACTCAGGAAGTGATTCTGCTTTAATAATGGCCATATTTTGGTTTACTGACAAATCAGAACTTGCCATGAAAAGGGGTTTTGCCAACAAACCTCAGATACACACCTCCCTCAGATATGAAGATGCTGATTTTGTGGATAAGAAAATATCTATGTGCAGTGACGTTAACTTTAACTTGCGTCATGGAGATATGGTCAGTGTGTCTTGTCCAGTCACGTACGCTGATTAAATATATGGGTCATATATTTCATGTCATCCTTATAAATCTAAGCACATATTAATCAAAATATTTCATTTAACCATATTGTTCATTCCATTTCATCATTATTCTAATGGTTCATTCTTATAAAAGTTCATTTCATTACATGATCTAATTATGAAAGTTCATCCTTCTTGCCCTGTGAAGCAAAGCAGTCTTAGATAAGAGGAAGCTGCAGAGAGACCTTGGTCAAGCAACAGTATCTTTCTTGCAGATTAAAGGCACCAGTTATGACTTATGTCTCCTTATGACCAGATACTGAAGAGGTCACACTGTAGATGAAAAACTGACCATTTCTGGAGGCTACATCTGTCTTCTCCATCCCCAGTGAGTCGTGGAGGATGGCTGCTTTTACTGAGCTAGGATCCGCTGGAGGTTTCTTCCTGTTAAAAGGGAGTTTTCCTCTCCACTGTCGCTGCATGCTTCCTTAGTATGAGGATTGCTGTAAAGACTCTGACACTAGTCAGTGACTTGATACAACCTGCTGGGTTCCTTATATAGGAAACTTTTTACTCATTGGCTTAATGACCTGGGGTCATTCATTGCGTAGAATCCTTACTAAAACCGTACTTAAGCTCAGCAAAAAAAATGTACTTACGCCAAGTAGGTTTGTGATCTATCAAGCATGGAGTACGCACAGCTGCACGCAATCTCCGCTTCATAAATCGGAGACTAACGAGAATGTTTCTCAGCTGCTTTTTAGTCACATCCCGCCCTCACCACGCCCACTTACTGCCATAAACAGTCAATGCAAAGTGCCTTGTGGATCTCATGCATACACATAAGCCGGCTGTTGCAGCGCTCCGCCAATGACATGGCGACCGTAGATCAAGGCAGATCAAGGAAGCGCAATTTCACAGAAGCAGAGATTGAGGTACCTGTGGGTGAGGTAGAGAAATGAAAGGAAGTGCTTTTGCAAAACAAATAAGAGAAAATCCACAGAGTGGCACAGCGTTGCTGAAGCCGTCAATGTTGTGAATTCTTCAGAGAGATCTGTGGTGGATATAAATAAAATGGTCCAATCAGCTTGATAAATCAGTTCCCTGACCTGTATTGGAATGTTTACTATGTGAAGGTCCTTGACAAGATAAAGAAGAAGAAGAAGAAGAAAATATATTTTCTATAGCACCTCTCAAGATAAAAATCACGAGGTGCTTCACAAAAACAGAAAATGTAAAAAATATTTTTAAAAAAATTAGAAAATGGTTAAAAATATATTTGTAATGAGCAAAAATAGACAATTGTGATTAAAAAAATGTTAAGAAAGAGAGAGAGTGAATAGGAAAGAGGGAAATCAGTGGATCCTGAGGAAGGTGGAATAGGTGGGGAGAGCAGAATAAAGAGAGAGTGGTGAAGAAGGTCATACAAAAACCAGCTTGAACAAGTGAGTCTTCAGCTGCTTTTTGAAGGAGACCACTGAGTCCACTGATCTCAGGCTCAGGGGGAGAGAGTTCCAGAGTCTGGGGGCCACAGCAGCAGATGATCTGTCACCTTTGGTCTTTAGCCTGGTGCTGCACAACCAGTAGGCTTTGATCACTGGACCTCAAGGAGCTGCTGGGGGTGAAAGGACTAAGAAGATCACCAATGTAAGATGGTGCTTGTCCATGTAAGGCCCTATAAACCAGAACCAGGATCTTGAAATGAACCCTGAAGTTGACTGGCAGCCAGTGAAGCTGGAGGAGAAGCGGGGTGATGTGGGTGTGTTTGGAGGACTTGGTCAGAAGCCGAGCACAGGCGTTCTGAACCACCTGTGGACGGTTCAGGGAGGTTCTGCTCAGACACGTGAAAAGAGAGTTGCAGTAGTCTAAGCGTGAGGAGATGAAGGTGTGGAGAACTGTCTCAAGTTCAGAGCGGGACAGAATGGGACTCAGCTTAGCAATGTTCCTAAGATGGAAGAAGGAAGAGTGAACAAGAGAACTGACATGAGAATCCAGGGTGAGAGTTGGGTCAAAGGTCACACCAAGATTCCTGGCAGAGGGTATGGTGTGAGAGGCAAGCTGACCAAAAGAGTCTCTGACTTTGAGAACCAGCTTGTCTGGGGCACAGATGAGGATCTCAGTCTTATCTTCATTCAGCTGAAGAAAGCTCCCAGCTATCCAGGTTTTGATAGAGTCTAAGCAGTTGTGTAACAGCTGCAGCTTAGATGTCTCATGGGGCTTAAAGGAGATGTACAGTTGGATGTCATCTGCATAAAGATGGTAGGAGATTCCTTTGAAGGAGCTCAGGATGTGCTGAAGAGGGAGCAGATAGAGGAGGAAGAGCAGAGGCCCCAGCATAGAACCTTGTGGGACACCATGGGTAAGAGAGGTGGTGGATGACCTAAACTTGGAGACGGCCACAGAAAAGGAGCGCTCAGAGAGATAAGAGGAGAACCACTCCAGAGCAGATCCTGATAGGCCTACCCAGTCTCTCAGCCTCTCCAGTAGCAGGTGATGGTCAACAATGTCAAAGGCTGCAGTCAGGTCCAGCAGGACCAGAACAGAACAGTCCCCTGCATCACTGTGAGTCAGAAGGTCATCAGAGACCCTAAGAAGAGCTGTTTCAGTAGAATGAGCTCTACGAAAACCTGACTGGAAGCTATCATAGATGTTATGTTCATCAAGAGCAGCTGTGAGTTGTTTAGCCACAACCTTTCCAAGATCTTGGAGATGAACAGAAGTTTAGAGATGGGTCTGAAGCTGCTATAAAGAGAGGGGTCGAGACTCGGTTTTTTTAAGAAGCGGGTGGATTACAGCGTTCTTAAAGTACGCAGGGACCTGACCAGAGACCAGAGAAGCATTAATTATAGAGAGCACACTGGGAGCGATGGACTGAAAAGCACTTTTAAACAAAGATGAGGGTAAGATGTCGAGGGGGGATGCAGAGGTCTTCATAGAGTTAACTAGTTTGGTTAACTCAGGCAAAGAAACAGGAGCAAAGCTATCTAGGATGATGGGCCTGGTTGGAGTCGGGAGAGGCAGCGATAAGGCTGAAGGAGAGATGCTAGATCTAACCTTATTGACTTTGTCCACAAAGAAAGACAGAAAGTTCTCACAGTCTGCAACAGAGTGGATGGAGGCTGTAGGAGAGGGAGGAGAGACGATGCTGCTGATGGTGTTAAACAGACGACAAACGACTCTGGTCTTGATTTGGCATTTTATAAACAAACTGAACTGAATTGAACAGAATTATTTGGACTATATTTAGCTTGATTTATGGTGCATTATAGTTTATGTTATGGGTAAACTGACACACAAAGGAAGTAAACAAAATTAAGGCCACTTTAGACTCTGCTATGGGGTCTCTGCATCAGTGATTCTGGGAAAATGATGAAGTTTTAAAAAGTCTTCATGAATTAAATTACTTAGAGAACATAATGTAATTTTCTAGTTTGACTAAGACCTGATATTGTACCCTAATGTTTCTTTTGAAGATTTTTAACCTACCAGTTACCAACTATCATTTTCTGTCTATTCACAAAAAAACAAATAAAAGATAAATTGTGGAAAAGCAAAATAAATGGCTTGGTTAATGAGTGGAATCCAGTAAAAAAATGTATTCATCATTTCATTTATCATGTTTAATAAACTTTACTGAGTTTTTAAAAACAAAAGAAGATTTATTTTATTTTTTTCTGTTTTCTTGAAAAGAAAAACGCAACAAAAAAATTTTTTACTGTAATGATTCCACCTTGTTCTGCCATGCCTGTCATGTTTGGTTTTCCTTTCTGCCAGTCCACCTGTTACTAATCAGCTTCACACAGTTCACCTGAGCCCTGCCTGATCGTCTCCCTGCTGCACCTGTGTGCTCCTCTTTTTAAGCAAAGCTCTGTCTCCCTGCCAGATGATTGACAGCCTTGTGCCAGTAGAGACTCCAGCCATATTTTTCAACCAAGCCCTTTTCTGGTTAAACTCATTTAAACTGATTTAACTGCTGTGTTTGGGCTGAATTTCTGAGTCTTCAGGTTATATCCATTACATTTACAGACAGTTGGTGTGTTTCCATTGTCGGAACATCAGGATAATTTCTGGGAGGGGGAAATTGAGCTGGAGATACGATGTCCTGGGGCCTCATTTATCAAGCTTGCTTACGCACAAAACGGGGTCGGAAAACTGCGTAAGCAACTTTCCATGCAAACTTTGGGATTTATGAAAGAAAACTTAGCGGAAAAATGTGCGCAACTTTAAGTTGACTAAGGACCTTGCTTACGCACATGTTGGACATGGAGAGCACCTGCTGCTGAGAAGGATAAAATTATGAAATCCTGCAGCATTATCACTTGTACCGCATCATTTTCACACAGAACAAGACCCCCCACACGCACACACACACACACGCATACGCGCAAACACCCACACCCACACACACACACACACAGCCTGAAGCGCAGAATGTGGAATGCAGAATATCAGCAGGGGGACAGATTGAGACAGAATGTCATGCGTCTGTGACAGTTTGTGTCCTGTCATTGTGACTGATCATGCACCCTGGCTACTTGTCCAGGGGACATCTCTGTTTGGCTGACTGGTAAGTGTGCATGACTTTCACCTGGGAGTCTGGGGATCGAATCCTGAATGGATCATTTTATTTATATCCACCACAGATCTCTCTGAAGAACTCAACATTGATGGCTTCAGCAACGCTGTGCCACTCCGTGGATTTTCTCTTATTTGTTTTGCAAAAGCACGTCCTTTCATTTATCCACCTCACCCACAGGTACCTCATTTCTGCTTCTGTGAAATTGAGCTTCCTTGATCTGCCTTGATCTGCGGTCACCATGTCATTGGCGGAGCGCTGCAACAGCCGGCTTACGTATGTGCATGAGATCCACAAGGCACTTTGCGTTGACTATTCACGGCAGTAAGTGGGCGTGGAGAGGGTGGGATGTGACTAAAAAGTAGCTGAGAACCTTTCTAGATAGTTTCTGATTTATGAAGCGGAGATTGCGTGCAGCTGTGCGTACTCCATGTTTGATAGATCACAAACCTACTTGGCGTAAGTACATTATTTTTTGCTGAGCTTAAGTACGGTTTTAGTAAGGATTCTACGCAATGTTTGATAAATGAGACCCCAGGTCCTCTCAGCAATTAAATCACCATACGAAATGACTCTTTCAGGACTTTGCACAGACTCAGCATATCACGACTGCTTCAGCAGTGAGTGACGTCACTAATCAGCAGCAAAACGCATCCACAGTAACATTACTTCTGTTCAAGTGTAGCATAATTTAATCCATTCGGAGGATGAGAGCAGCTGCATGATGTAAAATGTGGCGTTCAATGTTCAGAAGAAGCTCAGTTTTTTGCAGTGCTACGTGAGACAACAAAGCTTTTTGTCGTGGGGGAATTCTGCTGTGTTTTCCATTGTTGGGAGTTTACTCAGGCCACTTTTAAAGCTGTGCAATCTGTGCTTATCTTTTGCTACCATTCTGCTTCACAAGCAACTCTTCTAATTTTACAAATGCTGATTTGAATGAAATCTGCTGTAACTTCCTAGTTATAACCAATCAGCCTGAGTTAACCCAGAGTTCCACTCAGCAACTCCACTGAGTACCCACCCCTGATCAGGTGCTCCGAAATCTCACTCCCATCTTCACCTCTTCAATCACCGTGTGGTATGCTGGAGCTACCATCAGGGACATGGAAAGACTGCAGCGTGTTGTACGCTCTGCTGAGAAGGTCATTGGCTGCAAACTCTCCTCCATACAGGGCCTGTACATCTCCAGGACATTGAGGAGTGCAGGTCAGATCACAGCAGACACGTGTCACCCGGGACACAGTCTCTTTGACTCGCTCCCATCTGGCAGGAGGCTCCGAACCATTCGGACCAGAACCTCTCGCTACAAAAACAGTTTCTTCCCTTCTGCAGTCGGACTGATAGACAATCGTAGACCCGCCCACTCCAGCTGCTTTGTTCCAGTCACATGACCGTGTTGCGTTTGCACCTGAACTGACCCGCTCTGACCAGAACCTACACTGACTTGTATAAAGTAGCTGCTTCTCTAATTATTGTCTCACTGTATTAATATTATTATTTCATTGTGTTCATTTCTTAATCCTAATTTTTGCTTAGCGTTTATTTACCGCAGTGATTTCCCTAATGTTGTGATTCGTGCACATAAAACCTGTCTGATTCTGAAAGTTCCTGAAAATGGCCCGTTCCCAGTGTCCAGTCAAGTAGGCATGCCTGGAAGTTTGGGTAAATTTACGCCTATAGTAGGAACTTTGTCTTTTCTATGTCATCGGTATGAGCATTTCCTTTGTTTCTCTCACCCTCCACTAGCAGATAAAATCCATTTTGGTTCTTCTTTAGGACTTTGATGGCAACGTCCACCATTTCTGTCAGTGAAGGGTCGCTGTCATTGTTCCTCTCCAGCTCATAAGCCAGTTCCGAAGGTTCAAAAAGACCTGGAATGACAGCATCCACACGGGGAAATCGTGGATTAAACACAGGAAATGAGTCTAGAGAAAATACCTTCAATGTGAGTTTCATAAGGGCACTGAGACTTACCCAGTAGGTAATCCACATTGTTTGGGTTCAGAGATAAAAGCTGCTGTTTGTTCCATACATAATTGCCTTTCTGGGGAAAAGAGGGAATCATCAAACTCCAGTTACTTCAAACTAACAAACATAAAAATGATGTTAGGTTGATAATTAGGAAGCAAGAGGAGAAAAGCTGGATATTATGAAAAATGTACCTTATCCTTCATTTTGTCAATCCATTCCTGCACCAGGTTTCTTCCGTCTTTCCGTGTGCCGCTCATCTTTGGTTGGGTAGGGTATTCCACATCTGACGTGTTTTGGGGATACATGAATTTCCTTCCTCCGCCCATAATAACCTAAATAACCACAATGTGAAAAGCTAAATCAGTTTCACTTGGCAAACATTTAAGACAAATGATTGTAAATAAAAGTAAAACTAAAATCAGAGGATAGATTTCACCAAGTATGTAAACATAGTTCATGACTTCAGTGTCAGTTTAAGCTTATTAGTAATAAACCCCAGTAAAACAGTGCTTACCATTAAACAGGATGGGCAGAAAACCATTAGTCTATAAATGTATACAAACATTAGTAATAGCAAAAATCTTTTCTCTGCAGGTTGGTCATCAGCACCGCCCTTGGCCATTGGCGTTTCTAGCCCACGTTTTGGTCCTTAATTGAATACCAGGCTAAAAGTGATCAAAAGAACCCACTCCCCCGGATCAGAACAGGGACTGGACCATCTCAGCGGATTCTTACTGCCCGTGTTTACCTTCAGTTTCTAAACTGTTTCGAGCCAGGGCTCGGCGGACATCCACACATGATCATGACATCACACGCAAAGGCATAATCTTCCTTCAGAAGTCCACCTTTGTGGTAAAATTACTGTCGAGCTCGGCGACACGAAAACTGCAACATTCCCGCATTGCCATGCCACCACGGAAAAATTCCCCTGATTTGCTGCCACAGTTTCTTTTATCAAAGAGGCTTTTGAGACATGAGCAGATAGTGTTTCTTCTTCCACCGAGTATGGCAGACTGCCGCGTTGACTGATTTACGTAGCAATGAATACGATGATCGGGCTTTTCAGTTGCATGAAGACCTCCCCAATGACTGAGCTCTGTCTACATGTCTTGCCAGACAAAAAAAACATCACATCTGTTTTCAAATGATAAACATTTTCAGTCCAGTTTAAAACTTATTTCTAAGTAGCTGCTGAAATTCAAACTCACATCAATGTTGGGAATGTTTTCAAAAAGCTGTCTGGCAATATCCTTGCAGCCGTGCATCAAGGCTTCAGCTGGCATCTCATTATCGGAGTACCAATCCCGGTCCACGCAGTGTGCGTAAGCGGCGCTCGGAGTGGCGTGGTTGACCCGTGTTGTCGTCACGATTCCCACCGACTTTCCTGCAGCACATGCAAATGCAGCTGAATCCAAGGATTTTGAAAGATGTGCACATAAACTCTGGTTAGGTCGGAACTAGGCCCATACCGCCGTCTTACCAGTTTAAGCTGAAATTGGAATGTGTGGCTCACCTGATGTGTTTGCTGTTCGCTTTAGGCTGAAAAACCCTCACAGTGGATTATTGTTATTCCTTAAAAAAGTAACAGTTCAAACCTTTACGCCAACAAACTACAAAAAGAACTTGAAATATATTTTATTGATAAGTAAACATAAACATCAAAGTGAAAAACTGGAGTTAGAGAGTTAGTCCACACGAATAGATCTCATCTGTCTGAAAATGGGCTTTATGGTCACGTATATTTTACTTCCAAATTGCTTTTTCGGTTCAAAGGTTCAAAAAGCTGCAAATGCAAATCAGCGGCGTGAAAAACTGTCTACAGAATTTCACTTCTAAGAGCACTTCAAAGTCAATGCTGCAAGCAATAAAGCCACAGCAGTAAGTATTCCTCCCTACTTTTACATATCTAGAGAAGTAATTGGTCTCCTCGCACGCGAAACACCTTCATTTGAATAAGAGAATAAAACTGGCTCGTGTCACATTATGTTTATTTAATTCCTCCCCACCTGCGTCCTTGGCCCATTTGAGGATGGAGGTGACCTCGTTGCCCTTAGTGGTGTTGCACTGGGAGCGAACAGCGGCTGCACTCACACCCAGCGTGCCCTCGTTGGCCTTAACCCCACAGAGGTACGCCGTGGCCGTCCCGGCGCTGTCTGGCACCTGTGCATCTGTGTTGTATGTCTGCAGAAACACAACCCACTGACAAATAACTTTTTTGAAATCATCTTTATTTCACTAAAAAAGTCAACAACATGGTTTTTATAGATTGACTTGTTCCACTCATAATTCTTCGTTTCTCCGTTTAGGATGTTAGTTTTATCATTTTTTTACTGCTGCTGCTTCACTCCTTTCATTTAATTGAAGTTTTTGATTTTAGCATCAAGTCTCTCTGCATCTCAGACTGAATCTTGAGGTGATCAACTCAATGATTTTTCACAAAAATATTTAAATTACTTATAAAAACATATTCGGTAAATGAATGAATTTTATTATTGTTTATGAAGCATTCATAAAGGTAAAATCACAAGAAATAGTCACAGCAATTGTTATTTTTATTGTCAAAAAGATCAAGTGAATTGAAAGCTTACCGTTAGCTCTTTACCCATGCAAATTTCAAATTAATGTCTTAGAAATGGTGAAAAAAAAATATATATATACATAATGTTAAAAAGTCATGTAGTTGTTTTGTTCTTAGTTTTTGCATTTACCATCTAAATAGACCCCCCTATGGTTTGTTGACTGAAGTGTGTTTTGTACCTGTTTACAGATGTTGGCATAATGAATGATAATTAATAAATGCTTTACATTAAAGTGTATAATTCATCCATTCACACATATTCACTCATGTGATGATGAGCTACAATAGGGAGCCTAATGCTCCTCCCTTTCCAGTCAGCTCATGGATCCCGGAAGAACAAAAGCATGAATGCAAGCCAATGAGGCTAAAAACGCTATTTTCTAACCCGCTCTGTCTTACCCCTGGATCACACACACATGTTACTGCAGTTTAGATGAAAAGTAATGATGGTGTTTCGACCACGCCACCTCCTGAGCTACAGAGCAATGACACTTTTTTTTTACCACTTTACTCATTTTGAAAAGTCTGGTGACTTTACTAACTTTTTCATCCAGCTGCCCAATCTATATAAATAGATATTTAGCGTTATTATAGCACTGTTCAACTAACAATTGCATTATTATTGCTGCTCAGATGTGCTGAAGCAGGTTTATGGGTTATTGAGCATAATCTTTGTTAGGATTGGATGTGCAACAGTACACTTAAGTTTTTGAATAGGAAAGTAATTTTTCTTGTCTAGATTAGTTTTGATGTTTGTGTTGTTTTTGTTTTGCAAAGCTCACGATTTATGATCTTTTTGGCTTTCCATACTTGGGAATCCCACCTCTCACTGTTTTTCTTGGTGCCACAGACCACCAGACCACAACACTTTAGCAAACAGATGATTTAAAATAAACTGTCATCTGAGCTAGTCGCTCTGGCTTTGTTTTGGTGTAAAAATCTTTAGATTGCATCTTTCTTTGTACCCTTACTTATGGTCACAAATTCGAGTTTTAATTTGAACTTAAGAACAGAGATTTCATTTCAAATTTTGTAACTTGTGTAGTTATTTCTATAAATACAAGTCTTTTTTGACACACGCAAATTCTTATCTGCAGATGCACATAGCTGAAATTCTCAGGCATTTTTGTTTCAATGTGACAAACCCTAAATCTGGTGTACATAGCATGACATCACCAAGGAAAGGAAGATATCTTCCGATTCTTAAAGGCTATAGCTGCCATCCCTGCTATCACGCTCCTTCTGGAAGGAGCTGAAAGCCACGCATCACACACACACACACACACACACACACACACACACACACACACACACACACACACACACACACACACACACACAAATAGCCTTGTAGAACTAACATGCTCAGACACACCTGATTCTAACTGCTGAATTTTTTCCTCAGCCTTTATCAGGTTCTGCAGGACTTGCTAATCATGCCTTTTAATCAAATCTATAGTGTAAAACCTGCAGGGACCTGGCACTCGCAATGCTAGCACACTTGCTAATGCCACAATGGGATTTAACAACTGCCCAATGTAGCTAAGGTTGAACACTACACTAATCACTTTGCTTCAAAATACAAAAAAATAAATCCCTTGTCACTCCCCTCCCATCTCTTCCACAGTTAGCTTGAAGTTTACGGACTGACATTAATCAAATTAGCATTCAAGCTAGGTTAGTGTGCTAAGTTGATACGTAAATCTATTCAACTCCAGGTTCACAAAAATGTTTTGTTTTGCTGTAGAGACCAGGGGCCTCATTTATCAAGCTTGCTTACGCTCAAAACGGGGTCGGAAAACTGCGTAAGCAACTTTTCGCGCAAACTTTGGGATTTATGAAAGAAAACTTAGCGGAAAAATGTGCGCAACTTTAAGTTGACTAAGGATCTGGCTTACGTACATTTTGGACATGGAGAGCACCTGCAGTGCTGCTGCTGAGAAGGATACAATTATGAAATCCTGCAGCATTATCACTTGTACTGCTTCGTTTTCACACGGAACAAGACCTCCCCCACACACACATACACACACACACACACACACACACACACACACAAACACACAGCCTGAAGCGCAGAATACGGAATGCAGAATATCAGCAGGGGAACAGGTTTAGACAGAATGTCATGCGTCTGTGACAGTGTGTGTGTCCTGTCACTGTGACCCGATGTCATGGTCTGCATCTGCATCTCCCTCATGTGTCTCCTTGTGTTCCTCATGTGTCCCCTGGTCTGCAGCCCCTCCAGGATATCCCTCCCAGGTCCTGTACTCCCGTTGGTCTCCCCTAGTCACCCCGCTGCAGTTTCTCTATAAGGTTCAGCTTTACATTTAATTAGTCTCTTTGAGTGTGTTTCTTTCTCCATCGGTTTTTGTAGTTCTCCTTCCTTAGAACATTAGTTATTTAGCTTGCTCTTGTCTTTAGGTTTTTTTTTTGCTCTTAGGTCATGTTAGTTTCCCCTCCTCTGCTCACTTTCCTCTCCCTGATCAGTTAATTGTTTTCACTAGGTTTCTCTCCCCACGCACCTGCAGCTTATCTCCCACTCATCATGCCCCAGTGTATTTAACCCTGTCTGCGTCTCAGTGTGTTGTTGGTTCATTGTTTGTGTCAGTCTCGTCTTGTTCCCCTCTCGTGATATTTGAATCTCTCTTGGTCTTTTTTGCGTTCTTGGATATCTCTGGGTTTTGTTATTGGGACATTTTGGATATTGGTTTTTGGCTCCCTGCCTTTTTGGATTTACTCTTTAATAAAGGATTTTTACGTTATTTCTACCAACCCTGTGTCATCTGGAATCTCTGCATCTTTGGGTCCTAACCTCCTCTTGGCTTACAACGTGTCACCCGATTGATCATGCGCCCTGGCTACTTGAACAAGGGAGATCTGTTTGGCTGACTGGTTAGCACGCGTCACTTTCACCCGGGAGTCTGGGGATCGAACGCCGATTGGACCATTTTATTTATATCTGCCACAGATCTCTCTGAAGAATTCACAACATTGACGGCTTCAGCAACGCTGTGCCACTCCGTGGATTTTCATTATTTGTTTTGCAAAAGCACTTCCTTTCATTTATCCACCTCACCCACAAGTACCTCAATTGCTGCTTCTGTGAAATTAAGCTTCCTTGATCTGCCTTGATCTACGGTCGCCATCGTCATTGGTGGAGCGCTGCAACAGCCGGCTTATGTATATGCATGAGATCCACAAGGCACTTTGCATTGACTATTTATGGCAGTAAGTGGGTGTGGTGAGGGCGGGATGTGACTAGGGTTGTCACGGTAACCGGTATAGCGGTAAACCCCGGTAAAAAAGTTGACAATAAAAATAACCGTCCAGTTTTTAAAAAACTAAATTATCTCGGTGGGTTTACCGTGGCCGCGGTTTAGGCGCGGTGACCCTTACCAGCCACCGTCGCTTCAGCTGAAGTTCCCGCGGCGCGCACACGCACTTTTTAGTTTGCAACGGCACCAAAACTTTGAAGCTGAAATAATGGCCGAAGGAGGAGACGGCAGCGCCCAGGACATCCATCAGCCCTCAAAGAAGACTAAATTGGAAGTATGGGCATATTTTGGATTTCTGAAAAATGCTGAGGGACAGTTAATAGAAGACGGCTATCCCGTTTGCAGAACGTGCAGGAAACAAGTGTCTGCAAAAGGCAGCAGCACTTTGAATCTAATGGCACATCTGCGTGACCATCACCCACGTCTCTACAGCCAGTGCAAGGTAAGTTAACATTAGCATTTTAGCTTAAATGCATGACGTGAGGACTTTTGGTTGAGGGAGAATGCAACGAGTCACTATATACTGCAGCCGCAGCGTCCTCTGCCAGCATTTAAACCGTGTCACGGACACCCTGTTGCTGGATGAAGCATCTTATTTGTTGATGATGAAGAGAAATATACAATTAGTTCCTTGTCATTGATTTGTTTACTTATTCAATGCCATTTATACTTGGACATTTGGATTTGATTACATAGTGTAGTAGTTATTTTAGTAATTTGTTTAAAGTGGCTATTTATTTTAAATACATATTTTTTTAAGGTTGACTTGTACAGTGCTCAAGTCAAGTGTGGACTGGAGTTTTAGATTTTCATTTTGATAATGAAGAAAACAAGTATATGAGAAAATAAGTGGTGTTTCTTTGATTTGTTTACATATTGTTTATGTTTTGAATGTTTGGATTTGTATAATTTAAACCTGCACTGACTACTGTAACATGTTCCAGAAAAATAAGCTATTTGTTCCTTTACTTGTGAAAAGTTGCACTTTTGCTAAGGCTTTGTGTTATTTTAGGTTTAATAAACACTGTTAAACCTTTTCAAAACTATTTCAGTTTGTGTAGAACAGGACTATCAATGCTTTCTGAACATATAAAACACCGTTTAAAAAATACTGCGATAATACCGAAAACCGTGATAATTTTGGTCACAATAACCGTGAGGTTACATTTTCATACCGTGACAACCCTAGATGTGACTAAAATGCAGCTGAGAAACTTTCTAGATAGTTTCCAATTTATGAAGCGGAGATTGCATGCACCTGTGCGTACTCCATGTTTGATAGATCACAGACCTACTTGGCGTAAGTACTTTTTTTTTTTTTTTTTTGCTGAGCTTAAGTGCGGTTTTAGTAAGGATTCTACGCAACGTTTGATAAATGAGACCCGAGGGGAGGAACACAGGGGAAATATAAATTATAGATTTATAGATATAATGTAAATTATGTAGATAGTCAAATCTGAGCATTTTTAAGGGAAAATTAAAAAGGAAAAGGAAAAATAGTCTTGTGTTTTATAAAAATGAGCTTAAACAAGCTAGAACTGCATATTTTTCTGCGCTAATTGAGGAGAATAAGAATAATCCTACATTTCTTTTCAGTACAGTTGCTAAACTTACAAAGAATCATAGCTCTGAACCATCTATTCCCTTAGCCCTCAGCAGCAACAACTTTATGGGATTTTTCACGAGTAAAATAAATTCTATTAAAAACAAAAGTAAAGTGAGGCAGCATCAGAGGTAACTGTAGAGCCTCATCTGTGTTTGAACTGTTTTGATCCAGTTGAGCTTTCAGAGTTATCAAAAATATTAGCTTAATCTAAATCTGGCCCACCCCCTCTTTGTGGCCCCCGAACCCTGTGTGCATTCAATTGTAGTAACTTAATTGAATTAAGTTACTTTAAAATTCTTAAACTACGTAACCCCAGCTTTAATGCATATTTATGCTGTCAGGCTTACAAGCACAAAAAATTAAAGACTTGAATCTGTGCCCATACTTTCTGTTGTGGTTGTTCGCGTCTGTGCTGTGACACAGAATGACCTAGTTATAGCCACTGGCCTACTCAGGAAGCCATTAGCGACAACAGCAATCAATATAAAGTGTCATATTGTATTTTAGTTAGACCTTGGCCAAAGAGACAAAAGGGAACTTGTCCATCTCCAGCTGCGTCTCTTCTCCGTAATGTCCACTCAGCTGACCCTTCAGTATCCGAGTGGCCGTCACTGTCGGGACGCCCATCCCTGAACACACAAAAGCAGGTTGACTTGTAAGATTGATTTATGATCAGCACGGATTAAAAAGCCAAACTCTGCACCACTAAACTGATAAAGCTCCATTTGATGTTTGCAGCATGTTTTCATTGATATGTTAGAGCAGCACGACTGCTGTCAGGCTAAACATTTTCTTTGATTCCTGTTACATAAGACACCCATGCGATGAGTAAAAGACAAACAAAGGATTTCTTAGAAAGTCAAAGTCTTTCGTGGCTAATGCAGAACCCGCAGGAAAAACTTTAGAGTTACAGATTTACAAAAAAGTAACTCCTGAGAGGGAAAGGTTTTAGCTTTCTGTGCAGTTTTGGTACGCACATTTTCATCTGAATGCCTGAAATGAAACAGTTCGCAGCATTCAGACTAGTGTGACCTCTCTTGTACACAGCATTGAAAAACTAAAGTATCTGAAGCTCTCGGCCGAGAATGAATGACTACAGGTTTGGTAAAGGCTTTCCAGCTTATTTGAAACTCAAATTGTTTGCTTAAATTTAGTTTCAGACACGTAAAGAGAAACAAAGGTGTCAGTTTCCTTTCAAAAGATATTCTAGATGAAAATGTTATGAAGATTTTCACTGGTGATCTCTAAACGGCCTAACGTGACCATGAATGAAGCAAAATGCAAGAATGTCATGCTGGGTAAGCAGGCAGAAACACCGCAGAGGCCCGGTGGAGGATAAATGTTTTTGTAGAACCAGTGAGCATCCCAACACCAACAGAAGCCCAGCCATCTGATGGCAGCGCTGCAGCTTGGTTTCATTCCCTTCATGTCAGAAAACATCTTTAAAAATTCACTCATCTTCTCCTGCTGGAATGAATCTTTTGTATTAGTCCATCTTAAATAAATAAACTCTCTGGTGATCGTTCTGGAAAACAAAACTCTTTGATTTAGCATTCCTAACTACTGATAAAGATGTGAGAAGCGACGTACCATCACCAAGGAACAGGATGACATTCTTAGCTTTGTTTGTGTTGAGAGTTTGCAGAGTCAAAGCATTCTTCAGGGTCTTCTGGGCCCACGTGTTCCAAAATGTGGGATCTTTTTCTTGCTCTGGATTATAAAATAATCAGATTTGATTTTGATGATTACATAAAATGAAGACTGGTTTATAAAACTGCTAATTAAAGCAAACATGAACCCCAAACCTCAACTCAGAATAGAATATTTGACGGATTACAGTTTTTCTCAATTGTTTACACACATTTTCTGGTACTTGAGACACAATGACCACAACATGTAACCAATTCACCAACCCCCTTAACCAATTCTGCTAAACTACAAGCACAATTCCTGCTTTGCACTCAAATTGCTAATCTAAAACACATTTTTTTCAAAACACTACACACAATTCTCTGCTGTTGGCACAATGTTCATGCAGAAATATCTTGTTTTCATAAAGGAACACACTGCTATTCAAATATGCACACTGACTCATCACAAGGGCAAACACCCGTCACACAGTTTTACAATCAGCAATCAGAGCTTTAGCATAAAAGGGCAACAGGTGAGCTCTTCTGTTTTGGACCAATGGATGCCAAAATTGGAACCAGAGCCAGAGGAGTGAGAGTAAGGGAACATTACAATGTGTGCAGTGCTTAGCTATCATGGCATCATCCATCACCATGCTACCCTTGGCCCCTACAACTCCGCCCATCTGATCACATTCCTGGACACCCTACACAACACACTCATTCCACCAAATCAGGTAGATGGTCCAGAACAGCCCAGGTACGTTGTCATTTGGGACATTTGGGACATTTGTGGAACTGGTTCACTGGCCACCCACGCTTTTTAGTTGTTTATCTCCCTCCATATTCTCCATTCCTCAATCCCACTGAGGAATTTTTTTCTGCATGGAGATGGAAGGTGTATGACCGACAGACAAGCTATGGAGGACGCATGTGGAGATATGGCAGCTGATTCTTTTCATGGCTATAATCGCCATACTAGGAGATATTTCCCCCGCTGCTTGGCCAGGGACAACATTGCTTGTGATGTGGATGAGGCGCTGTGGCCAGACCACAACAGAAGAGAGGATGCAGCATAGTTTTTTTTTTTTACTGTAACTGTACACAGTAAATTCTTCTGTTGTATGTTGTTCATGTGTGCAACTTTGTGTTGGTAGGGAATGGGATAAACATTGTACACAATGTTTTGTGGGAAAAATAAAATTATTTTTACCATGTATTTGTGTGTTCAGTGTAAAAACAATATTCTGAAATATTTTACAACACAAGTATGTATTTACTGTCTGTAGTAGGTGTAACACTGAACCAAAAAGGCTTAAGTCATTATGATGAAAGGAGAAGATGTGTTTTCCATTCATCATAGTGTTTTACGATGAGCACGTAAGTGTTCAATTCAATTCAATTTTATTTATATAGCTCCAAATCACGACAAGAGTCGTCTCAAGGCACTTCACATAATAAACATTCCAATTCAGGTCAGTTCATTAAGCCAATCAGAAAAAATGTTTCCTATATAAGGAACCCAGCAAATTGCATCAAGTCACTGACTAGTGTCAGAGTCTTTACAGCAATCCTCATACTAAGCAAGCATGCAGTGACAGTGGAGAGGAAAACTCCCTTTTAACAGGAAGAAACCTCCAGAGGATCCTGGCTCAGTATATGCAGCCATCCTCCACAACTCACTGGGGATGGAGAAGACAGAGCAGGCACACACACACACACACACACACACACACACACACACACACACACACACACACACACACACACACACACACACACACACACACACACACACACACACACACACCAAGCAATGTGTCTATGGTTACATTGTTCTGCTGGTTCTTATAAATGTCTACTCATGTGATGGTTTGTGTGTGTCGGTTGACAACAAAATCACATTGTGAGGAGAAATAACATTGTTCCGAATGTGAAGTTTCATTTTGCAGGTTAATTGAGGGGTTTTGCCCATTGTGTGTGTTTTTGGATTTGTGTGTCGAGTTCTGAGAGAATATGAGGCATGCTTTCAGAAAATGTGTGTAAACAATTGAGAAAACTGTATTACTCTTTCTCGCTGATCAACCTAATAGACCTTCTGATCAAACAGGAAGTTTCAAGACTTCTTTAATGGGGGGCAAATATGGTTTTAATCATCAGATTAATACTCCTTAAGCTCTAAACTCAAATTAAATCTATTACAGTTCCTCAAATTTAAAGCGGGCATTCACTTGTTATTTCAATAAATGTGCTGTGGTCTCTGAAAATAAATGGATGCCTTGAGAAGTTTTCAGTGGAATAAAAGCTCTGGCATTCCAGTTTCAGGAAGTTGAGATTAGCTGGAGAACTGGGGGTGGAAAACGGAAGGAGTTTGAGTCTTGCTTAAAAACATTGATGATGTGCTATCATCTGGCCTCAGGTCGGCTTCAATTTTTCCATTTTTACAATAGATACGTAAGCGGCACATAATGTAGATGCGCTTTACCCGTTCGCTTCCTTCCCACTGGGAGCGTTTCAGATGCAAAACAGCGCAGAACGCGTGTCATACAGCTGGTCCTACGAGGCCACAAAACAACCTGAAAAAATTACACGTGATTTCAACTGTTCCCGTGGTAACGAGCAACAGAAAAGATGGTAGCATGTATCTCAAAAATCTGTGGTTTATTTTCTGTTCTGTCTACCTCGGCTACGGGAAATCTAAACGGGACTTTTATTTTGAAAGTTTCCTGGTGTCTTACACTACTTTTGTGTTTAACTTCCTGTCTGGCCCAATCTCAACTGCTGAGCTTGATGCGTTCTGGAGGCACAGCTCTGTAAAAATAGGCTTGAAGGGTAAGCAATGCGTGACTCTGATTCTGGGACGCAACAAAACGTGGCAATTTGCTGCCAGTAGAAACGCACTCATCCACTTTAACGTACAACGCTTCACAGATGTGACATACTTGCACATCTGGTGGAACGCCTTTCTTCACTATTCCGTCTTGAGTTAAAAAAGCAACGTTGATGTGACATCTCCACACAAGTCTGAACATGTTCCACTATGTTGTAGAGTTGCTAATGCTCATGGTTAGTTTCTGCTAGCGGAGACACGCTCTGCTCTCTCCTGGACGCTAAATCAACACAGCCTCCCAGGTCACAAGCCGCGGTGGGTGGGGCATGACTGTGATGAAAAGAAGACCAGCCTTTTCTGACTCAAGAGTTTCCCCATCTATTTTCATCCGGCAGAAGACTATTTTCACATTCAACATGCATGTGAAACTCAACGTGACTGATTGTAAACTTATCTGTGTTTAGGAAAACAAAAATGTAAAGGTTATGACCTAAAGATCAGGGTGGGAGAATGATATGTCACCAAGAAAATATTTAGACAATAAATTCCTGTTTTACCCTGTGATGTTGGAACTCAGCAGAAATAACATTTTGATTTTCCCAAAACAAAGAATTCCAATGAAAAAACAAACATCCTGAAATGATAAGCACCCTACTCCTACAAAATTGAAAACTCTAAGCTTGTTCTTGGCATCTCCTGCTAAACGGCGAACAACTGGATGTTAATTTTCCTGCACAGTAACTCACCAGGGAATGGTGCTCGTTGGTAGCTCTCTGAGATCAGACAGGAACAAGCGATGAGCAAGCCGGCAGCGTACATGTTGTTGTCTGAGTGTGGCTGATGGAGCGATCCCTTCAGCGGTCACGTCGGCTACAACGGGTTAAGAACACAGACTAGTATTGATCTTCAATCACCCACTCAGACACACCTCTGTAATATTTATTTACTCCATGACTGAAAGGAACTGGAAAGGGAGGAGTCTTGGGCTCCCTATTGTAGCTCACCATCACATGTGTGAATACGTGTGAATTAATTAATTATACACTTTAATGTAAAGCGTGGGTCATTTATTAATTATCATTCATTATGCCAACATCTGTAAACAGGTACAGATTGGGCTGCATTCATGCATTTTCCTGCCTCGGCTCCAATTTGGTCCATGTAAAGATTTTTCCTGCATCCAAGAGAAAGTAGCCCACTTGTGTCACCTCCCCCTGATTCTGGTTTGGGTTCTGAAACCTGGATTTTGTGAAAAATGACTTCTGCACTGGGGACAAAAACTCTGTGTCCTATCTACAAAAGCCTGTGTAATGGCCAGCTCAGGATAAGTGATTATAGTTGTGTAATGGACTTGGTAGTCCAGTGGGTAGAGCGTCAGAGTTCGCCTCCCGGTCGTGGCGGTAACGTTTTAGCTGCAATTGTCAGTATGATGTTTTCAATCCTTTATTGGTAAACAGTTTAAAATATTAGAACTAATATGTTTTTTGACTTTCTTTGTTTATGTAGCCGGTGTGAGTCCATGTGAGGTGAGCGGAGTAATAAATCAACTAAAATGCTGCTTGGAAACGACCAAATTCAAACAAAATACTTTGCAGAAAAGAATCAATAAAACAAAAATTTTAATAAATGAAACATTTTTCAGCTGAGTAAATAAATGACTGCGGACACCGGGAGCGACAGTAATATTTTACCATACATCGTGTCTACGATTGCTGTCAAAGTTTTTTAAATGCATGATCTGGCTCCTTTAGTTTGTTTCATCAAGAGAGTAAATTTGTCTTAAAACTGGAATGTCTAATGTAAAGGCATGTCTTTGATTTGTGTCTCGGATGTCAACAACTGGATCTCTGAGCACCTCCCATTTAAAAAAAACAACAACAAACAGTGAGGAGGAAATGGAAGCTGCTTCTTGTAAAGTTAAGCCTCACAGCAAACAGCAGTGGCCCAACAGGGGCCCTTATGGGTTCTGGCCAGTCAGGCTTTCATCTGTAATTATCCTCACCCTCCTCCTTTCTTCTTGTGCTTACAGTCAAGGTCATTTTAATGGGATTGAGCTCCAGAGCACTGAGAGGTTTAAGAGCCATAACAAAGCCGATTAACAGCAAATGATTGACTGGTCACGTCCACCCCTGAAAAAAATTACTTCGGAAAAAGATTCTTTCAAGACAAAAACCTTTTACCTGTTCTCATCTGACAAATCGCTCCTGATTTTGTAAATCAAGAAAACGTTCCGTGAAAGCCTCCTCATGGATGGGATTACTGCATCCCATGATTTGATTCCTGCCTTTTTTTAACGTCCCAACAAAGAGTTTCATAACTGGACCTAAAGAAAGTTTGCCAATACCTTTTAAACATCTACCTCTGACATGAAACTGTCAGACCCCATCCCGCTTCATAAGAAACAGACCTGGAAAAATACATTTTCACATTGGCAGGCCAGCATGGATGGCTCCTTCTACCATATTCCTTAGATGCAGTTATCTCAAAAGCGTCCAGGTCCACTCAGAGGAAGTGATCCGGCCAGTCTGCAGGTGAAATAGCACAGAAGAGACAAAACCGCCACCAGCAGCACGCCGGACAGCACGGTGGTCAGGAGGATGTGAAGCCCTTCTTCAGACATGGGTGAAAGTTCCCAGAAAAGACTAGCTCTGACCTTCTGCTCCTGCCTTCTGTGACTGATGGAGCAACTGTGTCACTCCAGCAGGTAGATGCTCCAGCATGGATTAAGGCTTTATTCTCATAAGTGGGCTGTGAACAGGTGGTGCTTAATGTGCTCATAATGAGAGGATGAATATAAATCAGACTGCAGACTTTCTAACCACTCTGACTGGCAACAGACACCAAACCCTGTACCCACTTTTTTAAAGAGGCAACTAACTTGTTTTGCTTCTCACACCGCGACTGCCTCTTCCAGCCTCTTTGCATGAGCAGCGTTTCCTGCAAACCCTGCTTCATGAAGACTGCATGACTTTATTTCATTAAACAATAAATTATACAGATAAGGAATGACACTTGACCAAGAAAAGCCCTCCAAACACATCCCCAGGTAATCTGGACTGGAGGGATCAGCGCGCATGTCGAGAGGCAAAAGTAAGAGGAGATTCTCCCGATCCACCGACAGCGTGGTGTTCCCAAAAGCAACATTTAGGGTGCTGGAAAACAAGAATTAATTGACAAGATAAGTTAATGGTCTTACTTACTGTTGGTGACGCAGATCTACATCCAGGTGCGCGCGGAGTCATCAAGCTCTCTTCACCTGGAAACGCGCGTGCTTTCCGCTCCTTCGCAACCGTTTTTATAAGGCCGCACTTGTTCGGATCTGAGAATAGCGGTCTGTGACCCAAGAGGGAGGGGGGGAGGATGCACTGCCGCTGGGAGCAGATGGACCAAGAGCTCCGCCTGCCTGACGGATCAAGCTGCTGCAGAAGACCGAGAATGCTGACTGATGGATGCGCCAAGCGTTGGGCTCTGAGGTTTAAGGGGCTCCACAGTGAAAGGTTCCTACAGCTTGTTGTTCATAGTAACCTCCTGTAAGCGTCACTGCAGGACCTGCTTCCATTAAACGGACAGTTTGGATGTTTTTCTGTGGAAAAAAGGTCAGGAACAGTTAATGTCTCACCTCTGTTTGGAGAAACGGAGTCCAATTCTAACCGTTTTAGTTCACAGTTAATATCACAGGGAGCAGCTACCAGCTCATAGTTATAAAGATACTGGGTGATAAATATGAATTTTGGTTTTTATTTGTCAAACTGACATAATTGGACTTTAGTTGAATTTGACTAATATTATTAAAGCAAATAAGAAAGAAACAACAAATAACGACTTTTGAGATGTGTTTTATTAAAAAATTAGAGCTGTAATCACAGTTCAGTGACGCCCCCTAGGGGTGGCCAGGAGTGGCCAAGCACCCCCCCCCCCGCCCCCTCCATCTGACCGTAGCATTTGTATTAAAAGATTACAAAGTCATTTAAAAATTATTTGATAAGCTTTCATCTTGTCTTTATTATTAGTCGGCACCTGATCACACTTCAGACTTGAAGCTAATGATGGTATATTAGAGCATCCTGGTGCAAAGAGCTAAACTTTTATACATGACACGGTTAGTCGAATAATCGTCAACAAAACTGGTGATTAGTTGATTATTAAAATAGTCGTTTGTGGCAGCCCTAGTTACGATGCCCCTTGTGACTTTGGCAGAGCACATCCAACCAGGAGGAGAACTAAAGGAATACCCAGGACACGCTAGGGGGACTATATTCCTTTGCTGGCCTGGGAAGGCCTTAGGATTGCCCTGGAGGAGCTGGCCTAATTGTTACACCAAAAGTCACATACACCTTCTTCTGTGCATGCATTCAGACAACAGTTTTTGGAGCATTATTTCCTGATATTTTGACATCTCGCCTTGGATTGACTAACAGCGACGCAACTCTACCACTGACTTGCAACATGGATGTTTTATCCACACAAATAACACGTCTGGAGGCGTTATTGCTGTGTGGTGAAGTTGCTAGAGCTAATGATTAGCTTAAAGTAGTCGGGACGTTTCGTGTTATTTCTTGAATTTTAAACCAACAACAGCCTTCTCCAGATTGAGTTAAGTGTGAGTCCATCAGAATTAGCATCAGAAGTGTTGCCATGTATGCAAGAAATCACATTAGGAAATTGCTGCAGTACTGGTGCAAAAAGACTGATAATAAGAGATAAACAAATATAGGAAGTAGGAATGTAATCATGATAAAATGATAATATAAAGTGGTTATAATTAGAGAAGCGGCTACTATATACAAGACAGTGAAGGAACTGGTCAGAGTGGAACAATTCAGTTAACACAACACCGGGTCATACTGAAACCAAGTGACTGGAGTGGGCAGTCCTAGGATTGTCATTCGTGAGTCCAACTTCAGAGGGGAAGAAACTGTTTTTCTGGCAAGAGGTTCTGGTCCGAATGGATCTGAGTCTCCTGCCAGATGAGAGAGAATCAAAAACACTAACACTAACACTAGCATACAAAGTCCGAGATGGTACGGCTCCCATCTACCTGAATCCTCTTGCAAAGGCTTACGTCTCGGCCCGGCCGGTCCGGTCATCACAGGATCGTCGGCTAGTAGTGCCTACACCACGCTCAGGACAATCCAGACTTTTCTCATGCATTGTTCCACAAATGTAGAATGACCTTCCAAGCACTACCAGAACTGCGGCTTCCTTTTCAATTTTCAAGAAACTCCTGAAGACCCTGCTCTTCAGAGAGCATCTTCTTAACTAGCACCTTGCCTGCACCCGTCCCCTCTCTCTACCGTCCACTCCTTGTTCCCTCCTCTCCATGACTGATGTCAAGTTGTTGTTGTTATTGTTGTTGTTAGCCTCTAGGGCAAAATGCCGATTATCACTTGTATGTCGCTTTGGACAAAAGCGTCTGCTAAACACATAAACATAAACAAAAAGACTATGTCCAGGGTGACACGTGTCAGCTGCTATCCGACCGGCATGCCTCGGTGTGCTGGAGGTGTACCGGTCCTGTATGGAGGAGAGTTTGCAGCCAGTGACCTTCTCGGCAGAGCGTACAACACGCTGCAGCCTCTTCTTGTGCCTGGCATAGCTCCAGCGTACCACACGGTGATTGAAGAGTTGAGGATGACTCAGTGACTGCGGTGTAGAACTGCTTCATCGACTGTACTGATAGGTTGAACTTCAGCTGCCTCAGGAAGTTCATCCTCTGCTGGGCCATTTTTATGATAGAGGTGATGGTGGGCTCCCACATGAGGTATTCGGTGGTGGTGGTGCCCAGAACATGAGTCCACCATCGTGATGGGCGTGTCAGACAGGGTTATGGGGGGAGGGGCTGGGTCAGAATGAATGTTGACAGTGTGTCGTAGATTTGTCAGGCTATCTTTGATTTTCATCATCTATTTTCTCTCAGAAGCTCATGCAGCATATAAGAGTTGGACAGGAGACCATTTTATTGTTCCGCTAGCATGAAAAACTCAAAGTGACTGATTTAATTATGTTTTTAGTGAACCACACTTTAACACTCGGCTTGGTGAAGTTGGATTAGTCAAGAAACAGAGAAAAAGCAACACTGGAAAAAATGCACATGGCATCTCTACTGGAACTGCAAGGGGCAACGTTTCTTCTTCTCTTTTTTTCCTTCTCTCAGAGTAAAACATGGACTTCCTGACTAGAACATCATGTTTAGCCCAAAAAACAACCTGAAGCGGACTCCACTCAAGAGCAGTCCTGAGTTACAACCATCGACAGGTTACAACGCGTCATTTGGAATTCTAGGATGTCCAAAGAAGATCCCGCCTTTTTCGTCTGATTTGGCTAGAAAGGCTCTAGTACGATTGGATATTTAATTTAACAGCAAACTGGCTGTCCTCAGTCCTCGCTAAGTACTGACTGTCGTGTCCTTCTGCCACCAGCAGGAAGCTGTTTTGGGGAGTTTAGTAAAGAAAATGTGAACTTAGCGCTATAATAAACAGCCTGTCCTGTTTGCACAATATTATACGTTTCATGTTTCATAAAAAAAAACTAAAAAATGTACAATGTAAATTTTAAATCTTGTTGCATTTATAAAACTGTTGGACTTTCTTTACATCTCTTGGCTCTGAAGCATTCGATTACATAGGATAAACATATGTGCCTTACCCGGGCATGACATTTTACCCTCCCACTGTCTTATGAGTGACCCCGCGAGGAAAGTTGACCATTGAGCAGGGTTGATGGTTTATCCCTTGAGGTCCACGTGGCAGGGGTGAGGTGGTGCTCACTCCTCACCCCTGCCACATGGACCCAAGGGATAAACCTTCAACCCTGCTCAATGGTCAACTTTCCTTGCGGGGTCAGACCCATTAGGACAGTGGGAGGGTTATTAAAACAGCCCTATTCTGCCAGCTGTGTGCATCAGGTCTGTTTCTTCTCTAGAATAATGAAAACTGGTGAAAAATAGGTCTAAATCATAATCAGCTTTAACTTAATTTTTGATTACATGATATACATTTAATCTGATGATGAGAGATGTGCTGTAACTTGTCTTAACCTATTAAAGCAGGATAGCCTAATAATGAAGAAATACGATAACCCCAATAGAGCCAACAGATAGTCAGTCTACAGTGTGATAAAATGCTACAAGAATTATTACAAGTTCGCATTTGATGTTTTTCAGGTTCTTTTATGAAATAAACTGAACCTGGTTTGTTGCTAAACAGGAAAGGATGTTTTTTATAGTGATGAGTTCACATTTTCTTCAAAAAAAACTCCTCAAGATCTGGCTGTAAACATAAAAACCTGCAGCAAGGGAAAACTGTTTCCTCTTACACGAAATAGCCAATCGTAGTAGAGCCTTTCCAGCCGATCAGAGGCGAGAAAAGCGAGACCTTCCTTGGACGTCCTAGAATTCCAAATGACTCGAGTTGCAACTGCTTCTTCTACGAGTTTCGTTCTGGCGAGATGCTCGTTTGTTTGTTTTAATGACGTCATTACGCGGCTCGTGCACTAGCTTTGAGAGCAACTAAACATTTTTGTGACAGGGAACTGTGTATTTTTACAATTGATAAGCGAGTGTAATTGATTACAGTATGATATTTTTTATTGATTTATTTGAATACATTATGAAATTGTTCTTCCTCGTTCGTTTGTTCCACTTCTTCCGGACAATGTACCGCCTCTTCTTAAGCCTAAACGCCCAAGATCAACGTCGCTTCCGCCGCATCCAGCGAGCATTGCAGGAGGCTCTTGCTGCGGAGGCGCAGGCGCGGCAGACCTAGGACAGCAGGGTAAGAAGTCGTGCTCCGGCTCTTCACGGTGCAAACCCGCTTTTGATAAAGTCTAAACGTTTGGTTAGTTCCGTTAGGAATGACGGTTACGAGTTACACGTTTAACTGACGTTACAAGTCACAGCACGGGAAGATTTCTCTAAACTAACTTGTAACGCAACTAATGACATTTACTTAGAGTTCAGTAACCTTATCTTTGTAGCTTTTATGAACACTTATATTTAATATGACTTTTCGGACTTGCAGGTCGTTGTTTAAAGCTGATTTACTTACTGGTTGTGTAATAACGTTCGTTTATTCTGTAGTATTTATGGAGTCACATCTGTGTGTGTGTGTGTGTGTGTGTGTGTGTGTGTGTGTGTGTGTGTGTGTGTGTGTGTGTGTGTGTGTGTGTGTGTGTGTGTGTGTGTGTGTGTGTGTGTGTGTGTGTGTGTGTGTGTTTACTGTCACACAGCCTTTACACATCGACCACTTAACAGCATTTTCACTTTATCCTCCAATCCACCTTCTGCTACCCAAACATCAGCCACAGGTCAGCCACGCCTGGACTGCTGCTCCCAGAATAACGAGAAGGCTTTTTGAAGTGGAGCTGCCTGTCACGAATGTCTTTGAGACAATAAGTCATTGTAGATCTGACATGGTTTATTTGACTCTCTTTAAAGT